AGGAGGGTGGTTCAATTGGTCTCCCCAAGTCGGCTCCGATGTTCAGGATCAGTCCATGGTATTGTGAACGAATCAGCCCTGACCTTGGCCGAGAGGTGCTAGATTGGTGCCCTTGCGAGCTCGGAGCCGGTGATTCTTCGTCGACTGAGGTCTTCCATTCCATGTTAGGAGCCCTCCCCAGCTGTCTAAGGGGCGTCCGGTCCTGCCAAGCAGAGACATGGATCCCTGGGCAATGCCTTTCGGCCTTCAACAGTTGCACCACATTGGACATTTGGCTGAACCAGAAGAGATGGCATAAATGAGATGGCACCTATCCACTCCTGCATAGCTCCCCGTGTTTGAAACATTAATCCAAGCCCAGGAGCTTATCCCAGAAGTGTCATCTGGGAGGAACCCCTATGACCTCAGAAAGGTACGTCTCAGGGTTTGGGTGTGTTGGACCAGCAGACACGCATGGAAGTTTGGCTTGCAGGATCTTGCAGGTTTGGTTTTCTGTCAGGTTTGCACTGAGAGCAGCGCCATCAATTGCTATGATTTCACACTCGAGAAGGAGTATTTGAACGATGTCGAGGTGCCAGGCTTTTGACATGTTTTGACATTGCAGTTCTCCTTTTGTGCCCACTCGTTTACTCACAGGTGAAGCGCGCGCTGGGTGTGTCAGAGCAGCTCAAATGGAAGGTCTGCAATTTGGTGATTGACGTTGACTTCGCCATCTCCGGAGACTGGCTGAGCGACTCTAGCCATGTGGTGGACAGACTGCTAGACCGCGGTGTGCCGGTGCTGGCCTACTCAGGGGATATGGGCTCAGCTGTATGATTTAGACACCATGCCTTGTGTGTTTTCGGTTTGAAACACTATGACAGGGAAGGTTCATGCCATGTTCATATCTTTGACCAGGATACTGACCTGATGGTCGACTGGCTGGGCACCAAGAATTGGATGGCGGGCTTATCGTGGTCCAAAGCCCACCATTGGGCAGAGGCAGCGGAGGCAGCGGAACAGCCCTTGCGCACCGGCCCCAATTCAAGTGTTGCCGGCCGCGTTCGATCGGCGGGTGGCTTGACCTTTGTGCAAATTTTCAATGCTGGGCACATGGTTCCACGCGATCAACCAGAAGCCGCGCTGGCTATGGTGCGGGAGTTCATTTCCCCAAGCTCTAAGTGGAGACAGTTTCTCCCTGCCGAAACGCTTGCAAGGGAAGATGTCTCCTGGATGCTTCCGGCCCTAGTGAGCATCATCTCACTTGTGGTGTTAGGTGTCGCGATCCTTAGAGTGGCAAGACGGACCGGATCTGACGATTCCTATGTTTTGCTGTCGTAAAAGATTGTAAAATGCTGTTCTGCAGTGCGGCTGGCTCTTGCTATGCAATCAGTTGCTGAGAGTGACCGCCTGAAACTTTGCATGTTGGTCGTGTCATCGTCAGGCGTTCACAGAACGGCGTGCCCGAGAGATCAGCCAGTGGTTAAGCAGCAGCCTTGGTGATCTTCACTTTCCGCTTTTACATAATCTTTGTGGCTTGATCATGGCAATGACATGCTGCCTTTCAGGTACCAACCCACAGGTAAAACAATGGGCAGCGGTCTCAGCAAGAGGGCTGGTGCTGCTGGCAGGCTCTTTTCCTGATGAACCTGCCATACCTCCATAGACCTAGCTGAGGTTGTCATTGATGACATCAACATGGCAGATGCAGACCTGGAGAGGGATCCAGGGCCTTCCATCGGCGTGCATAGATCTGCATGCAACCCGTGGAGCGTCGATCGGCCTGGCCACGTTTGGGCCATAAGAGCCGACACTGGCGACGCGGGTCCGTTTGGTTACAAGTTACCGTTTCTTTGCTTGTCTTGATGTGCATTGGCAGGACAGGAAACCTGGTACTTTGCTTATGGCTCCACGCATCGTGCCGCAGCCAGATCAATAAGAACCCACATGTACCATCATGAGCCAACGGCCACGCCCCGTGGATATAAGAAGAACACATGAGCTGGTCCGCTTCTGGAAACTATGCCCTTCACTTGCCTTTGTAGATGATTCTCCCGCACCACAGTATGCCCAATTCCTGTCACCTCCACTTTGCTGTCACGTTTCTAGAAACAGGTGCAGACTCACCGCAAGATTGGGTCGAATTCTGAGAGCACCGACTGAAGCCCTGGGTGCCGTCGACCGAGGGGCCAACGGGTCCCCGAAAACCAAGGCTCACCATGGAGCAGGCCAAGGCTGCGGTGCGGCTTCTGCGAGGTGAGAAGCTGCCAGAGCCCTCAGAGCGAAAGATGCACATCCATTTGAGACACTCGCGGTGTTTTTGAGCATCACTTGCTTAGTAAGGCTGCAAAACATGGAATGCAATATAATTAGTTGTACTAAAGCCGACTTGTTTTTGCAATGCTGCCGCCCTGGAAACTCGACTTCTGAGAACTTCTAAGGCCTCCGCAGATTTTGCCTGTGCAACCCCAGGTTGAGCTTGTCGGTTAAGGCTTTGTCTGGGCTTTGAGTCGCTGAGTCGCCACTGACTGGAAGGATTATATAGTAGGACATGAAAGCACACTGCAGTGAAGATCTGGAGTTTGCATTCTATTCCCACCAGAATAGTTATTTTTGGGGTCCAGGCATGACTTGGCCGGTCAAGCTTTGCAAACTCCAGTCAAGCCAGCAAGTTGCCAGATCTTGCCAGGTGATTTGATGCGAACTGCAGAACATCTTGGCAGAACCCATGGCCCGTTGCTACCTGTCTCTCCTCGACCTCTGGAGTATTTTTCTCCATGGATTTCCTGGCTATAAAATACTGGTTTCAACTATTCTTGCCTTTGTATCCAAGTTTCCGAAGAGGAAGATGGCAGGCATGACTGGACAAGATTGGCTGCCTCTTGAGAATCAGGAGGAGGCAATTTTGCACCAGCTATGGGATGAGAGTTGAAGATTGGGTGTGTAAGCAGTGTTGGCACGGAGGATAGTGTGACCAGAACAGTCCTGTCCAGGAATGTTTCAAAGGGACGCCTTAGTATGGCAAGCTTGGCAGGCAGATGACAGGCAATTCTACTTGTAAAGAGAGCACAGGCAAGACGATCAGGGTTGCCAGTCTCTTGAGATTTGACAGTGTTTGACACGTTCAATTCTTTGAAGCTGCTGCTAAAGCCAAAAGCCATACTAAGTCTGAAGCACAGTCTTGCAAAGAACGGGTCAGAGTTACAGTAGAATAGAACTCACATAGGTGCACCAGGTATGTTCTTGTTGCAAGAGCGCGCATCTTTCGCTCCTTGGAGAGCCTTTGTGGCGAGGGTCCCTCCACCCTCACACTCGGTCAAGCTTGTCGCGCTAACCAAGGTAGTGATTCGCCCTACATTTGAAGGTTTCAAAGTCATACAGTGAATCCAAGTTGGAGCCCCCACACCTGGAAAAATGGTATGTGGCGTGAAGCCTTAGCTTCCGTTAGAGCAAGATTATTTTGGGGTTACAAGCTCTGCTAGTGAACATCTGGCAACCACAAGGAAACCACAAGGCAAGTAAAGGGCGGGACAAGTTGAAGCTTTCAAGCATTGCCAAGGCTTCAGTAGAGGTGCCAGAAGATGACAGTGAGAGGAGAAAAAGGACGAAAAAAACAGGAAATCTTCCCGTCTCCCTCCCAGTCTTTCTCTCCCATGGGTGGTCAAGCAGTCTGACAAAGTCCGCCAACTTGGCTCAAGAGCACGAGTTGCGTTGCGCCATGTTTTGATTAACTTCAACCACTCCAACACACACCGACACCCATAGACACCCAACGAAACCTACGGATACCCACAGTACACCCGCAGACGCCCGACAACATAGGACATGGACGTCAGCACAACTTGAAGTGCAATTTCGTGGACTCGGGATTCCAAACCATGATGGGCAGCAATGGATTTTGGGAGGCAATGGTCTGAAGTTCGATCCTTGACATCTCAGCTCTTTGTAGAGACTTCATCCGCAGGCGCTCCGGCGCGACCGCCCTGCAGATGCCAAATGTGGCTGAGACTGAAACCATGCACAATTCCAAAATGCATGAGTCCAGTTCTGCATGTCTGTATTGAAGATGCATGACTTTGCATTGTAAAAAGTTGTATGATTGCAGCTTCGGAGTCCTTCCGTCCCTACCTTCAAGCTTGAGGTGTGGACTGCGGCGCGGATAGGCCCGAATGGGCTTCCGCATGGGCCTCAAGCCAACCATGGCACGGCGAGAGCTGCTTTGTTGCTGTGAGACTGCAAGGTTTCCAACGGGGTTTTTCTTTGCACCTACCTCAGAACCTACATGAACCTACATGAATGTCGCAATGCAAAGGAATTCCACGTGAGTTGATCGTTGAAAGCTAAGGCTTAGCTTGCTCGGGCAGGCACCGTGGCCTCGGAGTCCACATCAGCTTTGTGCGATCGCTGTGGGTACCCCGAATCAGATGTCAGGACACTTGAGAGAGATGCTAAAGCTGTTCAAGACTTTCCCAAGGACAATGGATGCCTGGAAGCCTGAACAGCTTCGATCAATGGAGTCAGAACCTGTGTGTCAGGGTCATGTGAGTCACGCACCTGGCGGAAATTCGAGGATTCTTGCAAGTTTCTTGCTCTCAGGCTTGGTGGCAATGAGCTGTTCCACCACATGCTGCAGGAGCAACGAGGGAGACGGGAAACCCCACAAACACACTTGCTTGCAAAGAGCCGCGGATGGGTTGCCCTTTTAAAGTTGACGCGCACAGGAGAAAGGCTTGCTAGGTGCGCTTTGCAAACTTGTATTTTCGATTTCTCAGACAGGCGTAGAGAGATCCTTGGCGTGAGGAGTGCTTGTTCCAGGTGTGTGGCTACGTGGCTTTGGGATCGATGGAATGTAGCAGAATTCAAAAACTGGTACATATGCGTCATTGGTTTGTATTGCCCCAGGCCACTAGATCACTAGGTCCCGACCAAGCCATACTGAACTCGTGAGTCGCATGAGTCTCCTGAAGAAGTGTTAAATACTTACTATTCCAAGATCAGCATGCTGCGGTGGACCTTGCGCCATGGAGCAGCGCTCGGAAAAATCCATTCTGAAGAGGGCAAGTGAAACAGAGCATGACGAGCTCGAAGAGCTCCGAGAAGATGTAGTGTTCACTCAGTTCACCGCGCAACAGTACCAAATGCTTGTCACCAAAGTATATCAGGAGAAAAATCCATCGATGTTGGGAGACTTAGCCTTCATGTTTTCCAAATATGAGGGGCGTGAGGAGGAGCTTTTCTCACAAGTCTGCTTGAAATATGGGGCCAACCTGGCAGCCTTGACCAAAGGGCTGCCCAGCAAAGAAGTCCTGGAACTTCCAGAGGACGAACTAGTGGAGGCAATTGTTCAGGTGGAGGCCGAGAATGAAAGGCGTGTTCGCCTTCTACGTCGAAAACGGGAAGAAGTGAAGGAGCTTGTGACCTTGATTCGTTTGGGCTCTCAGCGACGACGTTGCCATGCGTGTGACCTAAACCTTTGCCGTGCGCAGCGCTTGGTGAGGTTTGCAGGTGAGGTGTGCTGGCTGGTCGCGGAGGAAGGCCGCTGTGCAGAGGAAGAAGCTGCCCGATCAGCAGGGGAACCTGAAATAGATGTGGAAGACGATTTGCTCAAGGGGAGCCGCTGGGTGATCCAAGAGCTGAAGGCAATTCTTCCAAACATGGCTGACGAGGAGCCCCGATTGGCTGAGTTGGCTCATCATTTGGCAGCAGGGACGCCAGGCCAAGATGAGGATGGCGAGTGTGGCTACCATCCCAAGCATGAGGGACATTGTGAGCATGGCAAGCATGGCTTGAATGATGCAGCACCAAAAGCCTCAGAAGCCTTGGAAGACTTGGAGGCCTTAGAAGGTCAGTGAAAGAGTTGAGGGCATCAGCGGCATGAGCCAAAGGCTCAAGATTTTGCCCGTGTGCCCACATATTCAATAAATTCCAATGCCGGAGGACATGTGGCCGAACGGCACATGGCTCACCAGATCTCAGACAACGCAATTCAGCCTTGTTCGAGAAAAAGAGTGATATGCCCTCTATTGCCCCTTGCCCATGTCTTGCAGGCTCAGAAGAGGACCTTGAAGTGTCAGATGCCTGAACCGTGGCCATCTCTCAAGATTTCAACCTTTTCGTGGTTGGTCAAGCCATAGCTCAACCAGTGCCGCTCAAACTGCAAGGCAGGTCCAATGGAGTTTCCCGCTTTCGTTTCACTTTCTTCCAAGCCACCTTCTCCGCCTTGGCACATCTCCTTACGCTTTCCCCAGTTGCCAAGTCGCAGCGTCCTTGTGGGGCCCTGCTTGGGACAGGAGCGCTCCTTCAGCATGTTGGCATCCATGACTGGGAGCAGCGAGACTCTCAAAATCAGAAGGATCCGTCAAGAAAATAAAGAACAAACGCCCTTCGCAAAGTCCTTCCTTTAAGCGTGCAACCACACAATTGCCTGTCAGCACCGAAGGTCGAAAGCGAGGGATGTTTGAGGAGCCTGACATGTTGGCAAAACGCCAATGCGTCAGGTGACTTGCCGGAGAGGGAGTTGGTCGCCAAAACAAAACTCTCTGTTTGGCTTTGACCCCTTGACCCAGGAATCCTGAGTATCAGAGCCTTAGCTTGCATCATTGTGAAAAGCTGTGCAAGCAGGGCTGGATTAGCCCTGAACACGCCACTCAGGGCTGCCTTCCAGATGTTTGACCGGGATCTTAGCGGCACGATTGACCTTCAGGAGCTGCTGTAGTCACATGGCACTGACATGCACTGGATGTATTGGTTTTGCTTGCAGGAACTGAATGCAGCTTTGCAAGCTGTCAAGCTCAGTGTGGCGGCGTGGCAAGAATTCAAGTATGTTTCAACAGAATTTCAACATGGGCTATTGCTTAACGACCCGTTGTGGTTCTTGTCCTCAAGATCCGTGGTGCGGAACATGGAATGGTTCAGTGCAAGCATGTGCTTGGGGAGTTGGAGAGAACTGGCCGTTTCTTAAGGAATCTGGCACTCCACAAGCTGTGTTCACGAAGCCTTTCAATCCGAATACAGTTGGTGCCTCAGTGAGACGTGAAGTAAGCTGTGTCAGTTAATGACTAATCACCCGCTGAGATGCTGTGGCTGGCCGGCAAGTACGCACGGCAGGGCGGTGGGCACATACGCCTGCAAGAGTTTTGCGTGGCTTGGATTTGCATAGTTCTATATATATATATGGATGGATCCTACTGAGCTGTTGGATTCAGAGTATGTGTGCGCATCGTTTGTTTTCATGAGCTTGACCTTCCTCCTCCCTGTCGCCTTCCAAGGAGATGCTTCAGGCCTGCCGTTGTGCTACGCCACCCTTGGCTTGTTTGACTTGAGTCTTCTTGTTTCATGCGGTCAGTACTTGGAGAGCGTCAAGAACATTTTTACTCAGATTGACACCGACAGGAGCCTGTAAAGGGAACGGTTTGTTTGTGAGTGGTGACATGAATTGCAGTGGATTTGGATTGGTGGACATTATCGTGTTGGGTTGCAGGACAGGAGACATCTCGGTCTCCGAACTTAGCCGTGCTCTGAAGCTCTCTGGCTTCAATGCCACGAGCTCGGTAGGATTGCTAAATTGCTAGCTGCTAGCCGCTGCAGCTCAGTGGGTGTAGGTTCATTTGACTTAGGTGACTGGCCTGCCAGACGGTGGCTCCTGAGTTGCATGGGCAGTTGGCAGTCCAGTTGCACTTGAAATGAAGGGTTCACATAGTGTTCGAGTGTCAAGCCATGTGGTCCCACTGGGTTCTGCATTAGGCGGAGATGCCCTTAGCCTGGCAGCCACTTGGAAATACGAAGCAGCCTGCATCTCCCGTTGGCTGCTTGTTGTTGCCCAGGTAGCCGAGAAGATTGGTCGAGCGTACGACGCAGAGTCTGAACGGCAAAAAATGTGACATATTGTGAAAGTAATTGTGAAACACATATACTGTATATATATATATACAATATTTATGATAACATATAATCCCGCAGAGACACCACAATAACGGACGTCGTGTGGTTTTTGGCTTCCTTGACCCTCATGTTGATTCAAGGATGGCAATGGTGTCTTGACATTTGATGAGCTGCGCGGCTCAAAACAGAAGGGCGACTGGTATGAACTAGACTCTAGACTCCACCTGTGTCCAGTCTAGTCTCTAGACTCCACCAGTTGTTTTGCGTCTGGAGTCTTCAAACTCCACCTGTGAGTGGCACTAATTTGAGGTTTGTGCAGCTGCGACTTGACACTTGGACCAAGTCAGAGGGATTTCATGCATTTCTTTCCAGTTGCTTGTCGATCGTGACTTCTCAGCCGCAATCAATCGGTTTGCGATTTGTCAAATTGAGTTTGAAAAATATTCTTTGCTGCTGTTTCGTGACTGCTTGAGCTTTTGGCTGGGTCTTAGGAATGGGATTCCTATTTAGACAACTGGGCTGCAAATGTTGCTCCTGATTCCAATGCGATCTCGCCACAACAGTTGTGACTTAGCTCACACTTGGGCGAAAAGCGAAGAGAAAGTGATTTGAACGCAGGGCAGGGGCCGGCAGGGGGTTGGGATTTCAGAAGATCGCTGGATTGTTAGAGCATACTACTAGTAACATTAGCAAAAAGAAGCCACTAATAGCAAGGTAGCAAGGACGCTACTAGTAGCAAGGGCACCGCTACTAGTGACAAGAAGCTACTAGTAGCTAAGGGTATTACTACTATATACATAAATCGATTAATTAAATCATAATATGAAACCTAGCCGGTAGGCTAGATGTGAAGGATGTCAGATTTAGAGGGGTGTGAGGCAGGTGAGACGGCTGGTGTTTTTAGTTTTTGGCGGAGGGCCACCGATGCAAGATTAACTTGTTTCGGCATCACTTGCATCATCAAGTTGGGGACATCAGCAGCAATTGGGGCTTTGATGAGCAAGGGGCTTTGTCTATGGGGCTTTTGGATGCTAAGCCCGGCTCGGGTGACCAAAAGGGGCTCCAAAGAAGCATATGTGGTACTGAAATCTCTGCGACCACCCAGGGGCTTTTGTTTCCAAAACGCACTGAGATACACCGTCGGTGTTTTGACCGAAGACCCCCACCTTTGAGTTGTAAAAACTGCATGACGACCAAGAGGGGGGCGTTTGGAAGTCTGACTCTGGGTGACCTCAAACACCAGTGTTTGAGCTCAAGAACTACCCCGGCTTCGATGACCAACAAGGTTCACCTATCGGGCGTTTGAGCTTTATGTGGATGCTAAGCCTGACTCCAGGTGACCAAAAAGGGTAGCGTATCGAGATTTACCGTTGGTGTTTAGCTCAAGAACTAGCGTGTTCGGCTCACGCGTAAACTTCTGGGCCTCGAGAGAACCCAACCTTAGGCTAGCCATCTTGGAGGCGATCAAAGCGTTCGACGACTCAGAGTCTGATGAGTCTGACTTGCTACATGCGATACGCCATTAGGAACGAAGCTACTAGGGGCTCCTGGCCTTACTACTAGGAGGGGCTCCTGGCATCACTACTAGAAACAAGAAGCTATTTGGAACAAGAAGCTATTACGCACTGCAGTTCTCAGGTCCCTGGAGCCTTTACATGACTTGGCCTTCGCGCCAGCTGTAGCAGGTGCAGTTAGTAGTTTTCGACACACGCCAACCCGGCTGATCACAGTGCTCACCTTTTGGCCCTTTTTTTGCAGGTCTCAGTGGCTTCAGCCCTTCAAGCTTCCTGGGGCCCATGTTTTACAACTCCATGTTCAAGGCGACGAGTCGTGAACCGAGAGGACGATGGTAAAAGCACCCGCCGCAGGCACAAGCAGCAAAAACACCACAATTGATGCCACACACTGCCATGTAAATTCATCTTCAACAGGTCCCGCGGCCCTTTCTGCATAGCACCGCCGAAGTCCTGTGGCTTGGCTGGACGAGAGAACAAAGTCGTGGCTGTGTGTAGCCAGCGGCGCTGCCGCTTTTCACTGCAGGATCCGAAAGTGTGCGGGAGGAGGTGCTTTGCTCACATTTGAGCAGTTTTGCCTCCTCATGGAGTTCCTGAAGGATATCAGAGGGGGAAGAGAGACAGAGAGTCACGCAAAAGAACTGCGCTGATGTAGAGTAGAGCTTGTCTTTGCACCAGGAGCAAAAGAAGAAGTTCACTGCCGTTGATCAGGATAGCAGCTCGCTTCAGGATAGCCCCTTCCATTGTTGAATAACTATGTGGTGGCATTTCAGCACCTGGAACTGTCTTACAGTAAGAACTTGATGAACAGGAAGCTTTGGCCAAGGATCGGGTGCAATTAGTTTGGAAGAGCTGGGCGTGGCTTTTGCGCAGAGTGGCCTTCCACTACCGCATCATGACCAAGTTAACCGAAGACCGATAAAAACAAGCATACAGGCCAACATATGCAGATAGATGCCAATGATGAGTAGCTGAATTGGAGGGCTTTGAAATGTCGAATCGAGAATCGAAGGGTTGGGTCTGCGAGTCTGTCCGTTCCCCTGACTGGACTTGACCACACTTTAGAATTGGCGGGGCAATATACAATTGCTCTAGAGCCAGCAATGCATAGAGCATAGAGCTATACATGGGCACTTTTTTTTGTGAGCAACCAGCTTGATCACTTCATTTGGTGAGTAGCCAAGGCTGGAACAGCACCTTGTCTGCATGGTGGTGTGACTCGGAAACACTCTTTCCTTAGTTCGACCAGGCTTCTGGCAGTCGCGCGGCGGTATGATCAGGACAGGGTCCTTGTGCGGATTTGGAGTCTGGAGCTTGCTTCGTTGTTTGCACATTTAGTTCCTGACAGAAGGCAGCTTTGGAGGACATATGATATTCACATGCATTTCAGCATTTCAGCCCTCATTTCTGACCGGGAGGATCAAAGCGGACATCTGGAGTTTGATGAGTTTGTGCAAATGATGACCGAGATTTCCAACTTCTGACGACCACCGGGGCGACGGATTGTTTCTGCCAAAGATTCAGGATCGACTTTGCATGGCCCGTGGCGAAACTGGCTGTCTTGGGCTGTGGAAGGGTGACATTTGCATCATTTGCGCCCGTGGAACTCTGAAAGGTTTGTTATGTGGAGTGATTCTTCCTTGGGCCTGTCCACTGCAGATAGACAGAGCAGATCTGCAATCCCAACTGGATTTCGAGCGCAAATGAACCAAATCCAGCGCTAGCAACGCCAGCATCCCATTTGAGATGCTGCAGTGGCAATCGTTTTAAACTGAGAAGCGCTGGAGCTATCAGTGAAGTGTCAGCCCGCAAAAAGGTGCAGTGAATTCATTGCAAAGGACGGCGTCTATTCGTAAGAAGAAGCTACTAGTAGCTCCTGGCATCGCTACTAGGAACAAAGGGCATCGCTACTAGGAGCAAGGACGCTACTAGTAACAGGTGTGAGTTTCGCACGCTCCGTTCTGTTCGTGTTTGTAGGCACCTCCTTGCAGCAGAAGTACTCCGGCCCTGCGGCGGCAGAGTATCGAGCGGCCTTGCAGGCTAACACAATGTTGTGCTTTTTTAGAGCCAAAGGTGCTATATAATTACGGTGATCTAGAGGGTGTCGTGAAATTCCTCACGTGTTGGTGAAGAGCGTGCCAGGCAGCTGCAAAGCAGCCAGACATGCCTTCCGTCTCAGGTATAGATTCTGAAGAAGACTAGCAATTATATAATTCAAGCCGTGTGTTTTGGAAACACTTTTGTTCCTTGAGGCCTGTGCAATCTTCCATAACTGCGCCGCCTTCACAGCAGGCGTGTGCGAGAGAGCTGGCTGCTACATCGCCAACTCCAGCCACGTGCGAGAGGCTGGGTCAAATCACAAGTCACAGGTGTGGCTCAAGAGGGCGTAGGGGCTTATATAGGGCGTAGTCGGTTCTGCTCATTGTTTCATTGTCATGGGGGTTTAGGTCTGGAGGTGGACCTACTTATGGAATCACTGTATCATTGACCCCAAAAGCGCAAACCATGTCTCACGTTCATGAGCACAAAATGAAAGGACTGCCAAGGCTGCCAAGCTTGATGCCTGCACCTGAGTGTTCTTTCGCTTGAAATCATTGTTTCCAGCAAGTGCCCTACTGGTGCGTCCAGGTTTGGGGAGAAGACTTCTGGGGCTGAAGCCGTCACATCCGCCAGAGAAAAGTCAGGAACAAATGGAGCTTAACCACTGAAGCGAGTTACTAAATGCAAGTTGCAAAGCCGTCATAGAAGTTGGACATATGAGGCTGTCTTTGGCTCTGTTGAAGAGGACAACCCTCAAGAAGGAACAGATGCTATCAGATTAGACCACCACCTGCGTGGCACAGGGACAACACTGATCAATCATCTAACAAAGAAATCAATTCTGATCAATCTCTTTCTCTTACGCCGGAAAGACTGCCGTTTCACTCCTTCTTTGCACCTGGAGGCGGTTCAGTGTAAAGATCCCCGCACTTCAGATCCAAACCTAGCTGGGCAGGGGGCTCTCCAGATGAGCCAGCCGGCCTTAGGCTGCGATCTCAGCTGTTCTTCGGGTCTCCTTTGGGTGGCGAGCAGCTCATCGCAGGACACATCAATATATATATATATATTTATATAATGATCAACGATCAGCAACAACCTGACTATGTCGCTGGAGTTGTCAGCAACACCAGCATCATATTCCGCAAAGGCCCTTTACCTCCTCCAGCTGATGCCTGGGTCTTTGACTTTTGCATTGAGATGCAGAAACCAAGGGCACAGTATACAAACTGCAGGGTCTTGCTCTTCACACGCAGTTTTCCCAAAGCGCTCCTTGGTTTGTACTGAAAGCTTTTGAAGGCGAGTCTAACATCTACCCAGTCTGCAACTGAGCTACCGTGCTGAATGCCCACGGGTCTGCCACTCCTTGCCTCTATGCAACACCCAAGGTTCACGCATGCAAGGTGCTGCCACTATACACGTTGCTGCAAGTAGACCTGCAAACGCGGTCGCACTTGAAGAGTCTATGAAGAGAAGAGTTGCCGGCCCCGGTCGCCCAAACATGCCAGGGGTGCCAAAGATTTGATGCGGGCCACTGCACAGTGCCCCATCCTGGATCCGTCCGGAAAGAGAGGGCACCAAAGCTCCAACAGAGAGCGGCCTACCGGGCGGCTTTGACCAGCAAAGCATCGACAGGTACCAGTGGCGAAGGAAGAAGCAGGTGCGATGTGACAGATGCAACACCAGAGCTCGCTGCAGTCGCCTGTGCACATCCATGCGTTGGGGGGATGTTGCCATGCTGAGGAGGGCGAGAGAAGGTCAGCCTTTCGGCTGCGAGGTCAGCGATCACTTACCAAGCTGCCAGGTTCTCAGAAATTCCTTGTACACAGACCATGGACGGAAGCCATACCTGAGGCATTCTAAGGATGCAGGCCAGTCTTGCAGCAAGATTCTATATTATACTATATTATCTCTCCAACTGAGTTTAGCCGCAGGCCTTATATCTGCTGAGTTGCTTGCCGCTCAGATGACTCTTTCAACTGAGCTTTTCTCGCGAAGGAACTGCACTTTAAACATTTTGAATGCAAGCTACCTACGACTACCCACGTTTTTAGTACAAACGAAGCTCCGCTCAAAACACTTTGGAGTGCAGGTACGACCCGTCACTTTCGCCCAAGTATGCTTGTCCTTGCCCAAGAAGCTTGACATGACAGCGCCACAGAATTAGCACATTGAAATGGGGGCAGGTCCACTTAGCTTTGATGAGGAGATGCCGTGCCGATTTGCTTGTGTGTGTGTGTAACCCTTGGAATCATAGGGATCCTTCGGATTGTTTTG